CTGCCTTTCCCAGAAATGAATAACAGGAGGAGGATGAATAGCTTGGCTAAAACTACACAATTAGCTTTTGTCACTTGGCTTTGCTTGCTATGGGAACCTGAACAGGGATGTAGTTGTCCCCTTTAAACATTGGACTCTGCAGATGGTCGGGGCTGCTTCTCTCTTGGGCTTCCCGAGTGGAGGAGCGGACACTGGCCAGTCAATAAAGGCTCTCTAAATTTTAATCAGTCTGGAGTTCTGGTCATTCTGTTGCTCTCGCTCCACAACATCAGGACAGTTCATTGGTGTGGCCACATCAGCTTCCTTCTGGCCTCCTCCAGACCCTCACTTTGGGCTCAGGTGTTTCATTCTCATGGCCCCAAGCATACCTGCCACCGACCATCCCCTGCATAAAGCCTGTCCACAGGTTCCACCTGACTCCAGCCACATCCAGGGATCTCCACCCCACAGTCCATGCTACTGACTATCAGGCTGAGTTACACTCTACAGTCCTGGTGAGGCCAATGCCTCCTCCAACCAAACTCATCCCGTGAACCTCCTGCCCTCCCGCAACACACAACCCAGGTTAGGACCACATTGTGACCCCTAATAGGGCCCCCCGAGCCCATCTGAACAGAGCTCCCTCCTCTCCAAACCTCCTAGACCAAACCAACATACATTTATTTCCAAAATGTCGGATGTGAGCGTGATCTGGCTGCGACATCTGTCACCCTATTGATTGCCAGGGTTGATTCGGTTGATCTGGCTGGCTAGGCGGGTGTCCCCTTCATCCCTCACCGATCCATGTGCGTCCCTCCCAAAATGTATTCCTGCATTTTGGAAATAAAGCAACAGGCTTTGCAATAATCAACATGTGAATCAAAACAGAAGCAAATGTTTTAGATTAAATGATAATGTAATTATTACACATCAAACCTATGAAATAAAAAATCATGTGTGCTTGTGTGTGTGTGTGAGCATATGTGTGTGTGTGTGTGTGTGAGAGAGAGAATGTGTATGAATGTGCATGTGTGTGTGAGTGTGTGAATGAGTGTGTGTTCATGGTCAGCTATACCCATCTGTCTGAGGGAAGCAGAGGTGAGAGCTGAGGTGGGAGGGTCACATCTGGATGATCATGGTCAGCCTTGAGTTCAGAAGGAAGAGCCTGGATTCACCCTGAAGACAGTGAGGACCATGGAAGGGTTTAGGCATAAACAGCTTCTGAAAGGGAGTGGCCAGGGCAGATGTGGAGGGTGAACTGGAGAAGGGAGTGAGGCTGTGGAGCTCAGAGCTCAGGAAATTGGTGGACGAGACAGCTGCCTTAGGGGTGTGAATGTGACCCCCCTCCCTGCCTTGTTTACTGGGGGCACCAAGGGGCCCTCAGGACAGTGAGTCCAGGGGTGGGGGAAGGAGGAGCCTGGGGGCTGTGCAAGATGCATCTGCTCCCACAGGAAGCTCAATGCCTCCTCTTGGCCCTGGGATGCAGGTCCTACGTCTCACACAGGTTCCCCCTGACTTTCTGTCTCTGTGAGAAGCGGGATCTCTCGATGCCCTGGGGGTGAATCATCGGAGTCATTTCTGCCCCTTCAGAGCACCTTCGATGCCGGATGTCACTCTCCTCTTCAAACTGTGGAGACTCATCAGGACTCAGACAAGAACAATATTCATGGGAGTCCAGTTCCAAGGCAGCAACACACACAGACTCACATTAAATATCAATGTGGTGCTACCACATCCTGAATTGTTGAAGGACACTTGTGCAGGCTACTTCCTCCCTTGAAGTCTCAGCAATACCAATGCCTTCACCACAAAGACGGTGAGAATTCCTCTCGACTGAGATATGGAGGAAATGAAACCAGCCATTCAATGCAGATGGAGACAGTGGAGGTTTGAGAAATTGAAAAGAAGAGATGCCTCTTCCAAAGGAGAAGAAGGAAGACTCCAGGTCAGACCCCTCGTGTGGAGTCACCTGGACCGTTCAGTGGGGAGGCCATGGTCTTTCCATTGCATGGCGCTGGACCAGTGGGTGAGTCTCTAGGACACGGTGAACATTTTACCTGCCTCACAGCATTTACAATAAGTAATGTCAAACATGAAAAGTCAATCAATTCCTATTTCTTTTACAAAACTATCTTATTAACCTGTGAGAGAGAATTTTTTCTTAAGAGGACACAAGAACATGAACTTAGGGGGAAATGGTTGCAGGTTTGCTCCTCAACTCTCATGTGCGATGCAATCAATTGATGTCTCTCGGACATCGATGTTTCTCTCTTCTCTCTGTCTCTCTCCATTTCACTCTCTTTACAAATCAATGGAAGAAAAATATCCTGGGGTGAGGATTAAAAAAACTTTTTTTTTAAAGTGCTGACCTTTTAAATCATTGAAGAAATAAATGCACATCAAACCACAGGGTGGTACCAATACTTACACTGAATAATGAAAATTAAAAAGGCAGGAAACATGAAGCATTGGCAGGAATGTGAACTTACCAGGACCCTTGGATCAGGGAAATTCATGGAAATGCTGAGGCCACTGGGAATCTGCTCAGAAGATCTATACTGATAAAAGGGTAATATGCTAATTAGACTGCACGCCCCTCCAGACAAAGCCACGTTGGCAGGAGCTGAAGCAACGGTGGTTAGGGGTGACCAGACAGGCAGGGGAGGGCAGTTAAGGGTGATTAGGCTGTGTATGGAGAGGTCGTTAGGGTTGATCAGGCAAGCAGTCAGGTGAGCAGTTAGGAGCCATCAGTCCTGAATTGTGAGATTGATGTCCAAATGCGGGTTTAGGTGGGATCCAGCCTAAATCGACAGGCGGACATGCCTGGAAAGGTCCCAGATTGGAGATGGTGCAGGCCGGCTAGGGACCCTCCCTCTCCCCATGAATGAATTTCATGCACTGGGCCTCTAGTTCTTTCATAAATGAGCTCCCTCAAGAGCCGTGATTGGGTGTGCCACTGGGCTCTTCAGAGACAGACTCTCAGGGGCTGAGTCAGGAACAGATCCTGGGTCCCGCCCTCTCTGAGCAGGAGTCAGACCAACAGACACATGAAACCCTGAGGATCAGATGAGACCTCAGACACTGCTGACCAGCCTCCTGAAACCTGGACTCCATGTGAGCCTCATCCTGGGGAGATGCAGAGTCAGGCTCAGGGCGGGCCCTCCCCTGGCTATGGGTCCACAGCTGTGTAAACCCAGAAGGAGGCTCCTGACTCAGACTCACCACATCCTGTGAGTCTCTGTCCTTCAGGCCCAGGACTCCTCCATATGCAGAGCAGAAGCCCTCAGAGCAGACGCCATGACGTCCATCCTCTGCTGGGGGCAGGGAGGGGGAGTAGGAGGGGCAGCTGCCCATCCTACTCCCCAAGGCTCAGGCAGCTCCAGTGGATGGGACCCTGACGGGAAGGGAATCAGCTGAGATGCCCGGGTGCAAATCTCTCACAGAGACTCTCTTCCAGGGCTGAGTCTGGAGCAGAGGACCCGTGTGCAGGCAGGTGAGTCCTCACAAGGGTCCATGTCCCTCCTCTTCCTTCACCCCTGGGGCTCAGGAGGGAGCACATAGGTGCTGGGATGACAGGGTCTTGGGCTGAGTGGGATGGGGGTGGGAAGGTCTTTGTAAAGCAGCCTCTGGTTTCCTTTTAGGGACCCTCCCGAAACCGACCATCTGGGCTGAGCCAGGCCCTGTGATCCCCTGGGGGAGCCCTGTGACCATCTGGTGTCGGGGGACCCTAAAGGCTCAGGAGTACCGGCTGTATGCAGATGGCAGTCCTCGGTACTTGGACAGACAGACCCCAGCCTCATGCTCTGCCGTCAGGAAGGGGGTCTGCTCTCAGGGTGTCTCCCTCTCACAGCCCAGCCCTGGGGGACACGAGGAAGCTATGATCCTCATTTACCATGCTGCCTCCTCTGCTCCTAGGAGCTCTCAGAAAACCCAGCCTCTCAACCCTGCCCAACCCTGTCGTGACCTCAGGAGGAAATATGACCCTCCAGTGTGGCTCAGGACAGGGATTTGACAGGCTCCTTCTGACTAAGGAAGGAGATCACAGGTTTTCCTGGGCCCTGGACTCACAGCGACAGCCCAGTGGGCGGTCCCAGGCCCAGTTCTGTGTGGGCCCTGTGACCCCCAGCCATGGGTAGACGTTCAGGTGCTATGGTTATTTTGAGAAGCATCCCCAGGAGTGGTCTGACCCTAGTGACCCCCTGAATCTAATGGTCTCAGGTGAGGGGCTCCTGACCTCATCCTCTCTGAGCACAGGCAGCTCAGGGTCCCGCCCCCAGCAGACATCTGAGGTTGGAGGAGAGTGAGGGGTCTGAGTGTTGGTAACCCAGCAGAGATCTGCCCTCAGAGATGCTCTCACTTTTGCTGAATCCTCCCCATGAACTGGATTGGGAAGTTGTTAAGTGGGCGGGGGGAGTGTCTTTAGGAGTCACAGAATAGATGGAGGAGAAGCAACCGAGTGATTTGGAGACTCCAGAGTGAGCCTCAGTCTCACCCCTCTCTATCCTCATTCCAGGACCCTCTGGAGGCCCCAGCCCTCAAACCACAGGGCCAACTTTGACAGCTAGTGAGTCCTGGGGAGCTCTGCTCAGAGGGAGCACAACACTTCCCTCCCCACCCAGCAAGTCCTGAGAGTCTGTCAGGGGATTGAGTGACCCAGAACCTCAAGGATGGGCTTGTGTCCCAAGGGGCTGGGAGTCCCAGGGTCTGAGCTGGTGATGGGTGGGGTGGTCGGGGCAGAGGGAGATGTGGAGTCACAGGCTGGGGAGGGGGTGCTGAGCTCTAGTGGGAGAAGGAAGCCCCCACCACTCACCTGTAATCCACATCCCCAGGAAGCTCTAAGTCAGGTCGCCAGAGTGGTAGGTGAGAGTCCTGAGGAGATGGTGGGTTTCTCCATGGGACAGGGGCTGAACCATTGGGGTTAAGGGGTTCAGGCCCCTTTGGATTCGTTGACTTGTACACCCCTTTCAGTGTCTCTAAGTGAAAGGAGAAAATCCTTGTCCAGAGCTTAGATTTCCTGTCAGTTCTGGCCCTGACCTCCTGGGTGAGGGGCCTCACGGGGAAGCCTGCAGGACGTGATGTTATGGGGCCTGTCCCCTCTGTCTCAGTGACGGTGACACTGTGCGGGGGCGGGGGGGGGAGACAGGCAGGACAAGGGTCCGGGAGCCCAGTCCTACCCCTCAGCTCAGGCTCAGCTCAGAGGAGGGAACAGGGTGGATCAGCCCTGGCTCAGCTCCTGGCTCTGCTGCTCCTGCTGTGGGGCTGGGCGGTCCCTTCTCTCCTCTGAGTGTCGGGTTCCTGTCTGCTCATCCCTGGTCCCACCCTGCTCACAAGCAGCTGGGAGATGAGGTGACATAAGGGCCTCACAGAGCTCAGGAAGGCAGAGCCCCCAGCCCAGCCTGACCTTCCAAAGGGGGTGTCAGGGCCTGCAGGGTGGGGATGGATGAGGGAGAGACTCAGAGTCCAGCCCACACCCTGGCCCGCCTGTCCCTGCTGTGCTGGTGCAGGTAATGAGGAAGGACCCTCAGCTCCAGATAAGACGTGGACAGGCCCCTGCAGAGGAGGAACCTTGAGCAGGAAGCTGGTGTCCCCTGGGGGGCATCGTGAGGACAGCACAGGGAACCCACAGTCTTGTGTTCCAGTCCCAGCCCTGCCCCTTGCAGGCTCAATGACCTGGGGCACGTGATTAAGCCCTCTGAGCCTCAGTGAAGTGGGTGGTGGGGTCATCATCCCTGGTGCATGAGGTGAGGGGACATGAGTAACAGACCCCAGCAGGAGTCTCACACACAGTAGGTGCTCATAAAATAGCATCACTGGCTCATTCATGACGTCATGAGGGGGAGAGAGGCGGCCAGGTCTTTCAGGTCTGATTCCTTTCCTGGAGTCATCCCCAAAATCTCCATCTGGGCTGACCCAGGCCCCATCGACACCAAGGGGAGTCCTGTGACCATCTGGTGCAGGGGTCTCTGCAGGCTAATGTTTACCTTCTGTATAAACAGAGGGGCTCTGACCCCTGCATATGAGAATCCCATAGGACTCTAACAGTAAGGCCGGTTTCCTCAAATAAGCTCGGACCTCGCCCCACCCAGGACTGTACCAGTGTGCATATTACACCACTGGAGACATAGGCTGCTTGCGGGACAACGCCGTGACAGGCAGGGCCAGCATCCAAGTGACCACCACCTGTGTGTTTGTCTGTCCATCCTGTTGGCCCCAGAGTCTCCTCCATCTCCTCCAGCTGAGGCTACAGGGAGAAGACGCCATGAGCCCCACCCTCAAGGCCCTGCTCTGCCTCAGTGAGAAGGGAGGAGGGGGAGTGGACCCCTGGTCTGTCAGGACCCCAGGACACAGGAGACTCATGGGGAGGAGGGATCTGCCCAGGGTTCAGGGTAAATCTCTCGCAAGGACTCTCTTCCAGGGCTGAGTGTGGGCCTCAGGACCCCAGTGCAGGCAGGTGAGTCTGCCCCCAGGTGTCCCAGGTCCCACTCTTCCCTGGGGACATGGGCCACCCCCAGGCAATAGGGGAATGGGTGCAGATCTGTCTGACAGATGGGGGGCATCTGGGATTGTGACCTGGGGACCAGGGGTGAGAATGTCCTGTGACCCAGCCTCTGATTCTTTCCAGGGCCCCTCCCCAAACCCACCATATGGGCTGAGCCAGGCCCTGTAATCCCCAGCGGGAGCCCCATGACCATCTTCTGTCAAGGAACACGAAAGGCTAAGGAGTACCTAATTTATAAAGAGGGAAGCCTAGTACCATGGAAACAACAGAAGCCACTGGAGCCTGGGGACAAGGCCAAGTTCTCCATCACACGCATGACAGAGCATGATGCAGGGATATATCACTGTTACTACCTCAGCCCCACTGGCTGGTCAGGGCACAGTGACTTCCTGGAGCTGGTGATGACAGGTGAGAGGACACTCAGGGGTCCCAGCCTCAGGCTCTGCCCTCAGGAAGGGGGTCTGCTCTCAGGGTGTCTCCCTCTCACAGCCCAGACCAGGGGGACGTGAGGGAGGTGTGAGCCCATTTAACACTCTGCCTCCTCCTCTCCTAGGATCCTACAGCAAACCCAGCCTCTCAGCCCTGCCCAGCCCTGTAGTGACCTCAGGAGGGAACGTGACCCTCCAGTGTGGCTCAGGGCAGGGATTTGACAGGTTCATTCTGACTAAGGAAGGAGATCACAGGCTCTCCTGGACCCAGGACTCAGAGCCACAGCCCAGTGGGCAGTCCCAGGCCCTGTTCCCTGTGGGCCCTGTGACCCCCAGCCACAGGTGGACGTTCAGATGCTATGGTTGTTACAGGAACAGCCCCCAGGTGTGGTCACACCCCAGCGATGCCCTGGAGCTCCTGGTCTCAGGTGAGGGCCCCTCACTCTGTCTCTCTGCTTGTCAGCTCAGGGTCCAGTCCTCAGAACAATCATGGGCTGAAAGGGGAGTGAGGTGGCTGTAGAGATGGTCACTTGGAAAGTGACCCTTAGCACAGCCTTATCCCTGTTCACCCCTCTCCGTCCTCTGTTGCCAGAAGGTGTCTCTAGTGGGCAGTTGGAGGGTCTTAGTGTGGGGACCCCTGGCAGATGCAGGAGATGTCTGAGTGAGGTGGGAACTCCAGAGTCAGCCCCAGCCTCCCTCCTCTCCTGTTCTCCTTCCCAGGACCTGCACACACAGTGTCCTCTTTGCTCAGATGGAGACAGACAGCCCCAGGATGTCTGAGTCTCTCAGAAGATCTAATGACCCCCATATACCTAAGGACAGGCTTGTCTCGGCTTGTGTCCTTAGTCAGGGAGAGATCTCAGGGGAACCATAGGCCTCCAGGGTCTCTGAGGATTCACTTCTCCCCCCGTCACATGGAGTCAGGCCTTAGAGAGGGAAGTGAGGCAGGTGGCAAGTGGGGAGGTCATAGCTGAGGGAGATGTTGGGGCTCAGGCTGGGGAGGGGGAGTCAGGCTCAAGTGGGGAGAAGGCAGACCCTGCCCCTTGCCTTTCATCTTGATCCCAGAGAGCTCTGAGCAATGGTCCCTCCTTCCCCTCCCCCAACCCAGGGAGTCGTGCCCACAGAGGGGAATTGGGAGTCTCCGTGGGGAGGTGGTGGGTACCTCCCTGTAGGGAACAAGGGCTGAGTCATGAGACTGTTCTGGAACCTCTGAAGTCTCTCACTTGGACACACCCTTCCTCTGTCTGGGCCTCAGTATCTCGAACTGTAAAAGGAGAGAATCCTTGTGCAGAGCTTAGATTTCCTGTCAGTTCTGGCCCTGACCTCCTGGGAGAGGGGCCTCACAGGGAAGCTCCCAAGATGTTATGTTATGAGACCTGTCCCCTCTGACTCAGTTATGGCAACACTGTATAGGGAGAGACACAAAGGACAAGGGTCCGGGCACCCAGTCCTCCCCCGCAGCTCAGGCTCAGCTCAGAGGAGGGAACAGGGTGGATCAGCCCTGGCTCAGCTCCTGGCTCTGCTGCTCCTGCTGTGGGGCTGGGCGGTCCCTTCTCTCCTCTGAGTGTCGGGTTCCTGTCTGCTCATCCCTGGTCCAATCCTGCTCACAGGCTGCTGGGAGATGAGATGACATAGGGCCTCACAGAGCTCAGGAAGGCAGGGCCCCCAGCCCAACCTGAACTTCCTAGGGGGCTGTCAGAGAACTGTGGTGGATGGGGATCCAGGAGAGATTCAGAGTCCACCCCACACCCTGCCCATCCCTGTCCCTGCTGTGCTGGGGGAGGGGAATGA